TAAAAGAGGTTTGTTGATAGGTATGTTTATTTATTGTAACTCGCTAGGCCTAACTAACTAAAGTAGGCCCTACCTAGAGTATTTGTTGTGTAAGCAGCTCAGCTGAAGCCTGGCCAGTAGTACAGTAGTAGGGCCCCATAGGTATAGAGGGTACCTAGCCTAGCTAGGCCTATCCCATTTATTTATGTACAGCATGCCATGCAGTGCATTAAACAAAAATATATATATATAATTATTATAAAAGCATAAAGTGTGATTCAATTAGGCCAAAAAAAAATCAATTGTTTGTTTGCCCGTCCATTTTTAAAAATAATTATGATATAAGGGTAGGTGGAAATTTTTAAAAAATTTATTTATTTTTTTTAAGATACTCATCAGATGGATTAAAAATTAACCACAGAAGTCATCCATGCTAATGAAAAATCAACTTTCAAATCAGCTATAGATAGGTATTAGCAAACTTAAACCAAATAAATAAAACTTCCTCAACTATATATAAAATAAACTATAACAAACTTGCAACAATGTTGCAGAAAAGCAGCAAAACACATTTAAGAAAGTGCTAAAGTTACCAGCAATGTCCAATTAGCAATTCTGAGATTGTAGGACATCTGGCAAAAAATAAAAATAAATTCACTCACATTTTCTTTTTAATTGTAAACAAAAAGCTAAAAAAAAGTTTTTCCATCCCTACTTTTTCCAGTGAGTTAGGGGCAGGTTGAGGAGAGCAAACAAACATATATTTCCTTTGGCCTTACACAAAGCCACCAAAGTCTGTCTTCTTTTTGGAATTACTTAAATTATAATTTTTATTAAAAAACATATTTTTACAAGGATACAATACAAACATACTTTATTCATCCCACTACGGGAACATTTCATGGCTGGATACAACAAAGTGAAAAAAGCATAAGACAATTTACTAATAGTGATAATAATAATAATATTAGTATAGTAATAATAAAACTAATAATAATAATAATAGTTATGATAGTTTTGGCCTACACACAGCACCACTCGTTATTCACATATTATTCAGTGGAGATTTTGTCTCACAATTTAGCTAATTTGGTATGACATTAATTAGCAAAACAGAAATTTGACTTGCCAAAACATTGAATATAAGCAGCAAAAGTTTCAATTCCATCAGCTTTATGGTTTATAAAAAATATATTTAGCAAAATTCAGCTTTTATTAGGATTTGGCTTTTTGGCTAATAACAGCTACACTGCCAACACTTGATTGAAAAATTTAACACAATTATAATGTACAACATACTATAACAGTAAAAACAAAAATAATTAAATTTATGCTACCCACCATATGAACCACAGTTGTTTTAAAATATGAAATACAATACGATACATAACAAATAAAGGGCTCCAAACACCATTCATTATTACAATCATTAGTGTTTATTACACTTTTCTTCACAATTTTATATCTATTGTACTGATACTTGGTACCTTATTGCTTTTGGAATGAATATGAGAAGATTTCATGAGACACTTGGCACAACAATAAATATAGATCTACTGTATAAGTGCTTTTACACAGCAAAGAGCAATATATATTTAATGTGAGAAATTAATCTTGTGATTTAGCTAATATATAAAATGTATATTATTACTTTACACCATGCAAATATCATTGATATCATAAGCATTTTTTTCGGATGTCGTCAGCGCTTTGAAATCGCAAGGTATAAACAAATAATTATTCGATAGTGCGCTCCTTCGAATACTTAAATATTGTTGAATCCTTGAAGCTGGCGGAAGAGGACGTCACTAGCCCCTGGGTCAGAGGAGTTGGTCTTGAATTCTGCAGTAGGTCTGAAAGCTTCTATAATGCTCTATGAATTGGCTGTTTCAAAAAAATACATTGAGATTAATTTTAAGTTATTGTAAGAATACTGTATCGTATGCACTTTTTATGTATTCACTGAAATGTCATACATTTTGATTCCATAGTGAGCATCAGTGGTCAATAATATTAATAATTTAATTCCATCTATTCCACTAAAAAACAAATGCTGAAACCTATAAGGCAAGTCTGTATACAGATTCCGGTAAGGCGAGACTTTATATTTTTTGTTTCGTGCCATGAATTTTTTATACAGTAGATCATCGGAGAGGGCAGAATAAAAATAAAATTTTGTTTTCTTATTTAGCAAATAATTGGCAAAAAATAAAATTTTAATTTTATTCGAAATCATCAATATTTGCGTTAGGTGGGTTTACTAAACAAGGTATAAAAAAGTCTTGCCTAACTAACAACTACAAACATAACGGATACATACGATGTCCTTAGCCCATCTAACTCTCATTATAAGGGTTAATCGAGGAGCCAAGCGATTGGACACTTGCCGGTCTTGAACCGGGGTCTTTAGCACAAGAAGCAGGAACAAATACCTCTCAGCCAACTACCCAGATGGTACATATATATTTGTACACCCTTACATTTAGATTGGATAATAATTAAATCCCCTAAAAGTAAAACATTGCCTACCTATTACAGGTACTGAACTTATAGTAGTTCAGCTTTGCCCACTGCATTTCACAACCTGGTTTTGCTGCAATTGACTTTAATCCAT